TCCTCCTAGCATTCTTGGTTGCCATAGTGCACACGGCCAGTTCGACTGTCACTGGACATGAACGAAGGTACAAAGCAGCAGCATTGTTGAGAGACTTTATTAACTCGGCATTGTCGTTGGGTACCAACGAAATGTGTGGTCTTCCAGTTGGTTCACAAACAATCCTCCCATTGCAGGGGTGCAAGATTTCACAAACAAGAGAATTTCTGGCTACCTTTCAAGAGGGTATACAACTCATGCACTGGTGGCATGCGGTAGTGGCTGAAGACATAGTACTGCCCGCTGCAATCCTTTCAAATCCAGTGACTGGGTCTGTTTGGCCGCCATACTTTTCCAACAATTTGGCATGTGACTGTCTGACTATAGTCATACTAAGATACTAGTCAAGTAACATATATTTTATTTATAGTTAATTTATAACTTAACATACATCTTGTAACAAGGCATAATAACAATTTCACTCCCTGGCCCTGCCCCAGTCACCTCCAGCATGTCACGAGGTGCGGACTTGCACTGCGGGAGAGCTACTTGTAGCCATGCTTTTGCGATGTGAAACAATTCCGGAAGGTTATGCAATCTTTTGGGAGCCCTTCAAAACCGGATTTCTGGCTTTTTACGAAGTGCTGAGACTAGGATTGCTGGAATTGCCGGCCACTCATTCGGGGATTGATTGGGCAAGCTTGCCACATCGCAATCTTTTGGGGGCCGGATTCTATGATTGGATGCTTTCAAGACTTCAAGCCGAGGATGTAGTTGACCAAAATGATCCCTTTAATTCTACTTTACGAACATGTGTTGGAAGTCGTAGTAAGTCAAGTAATCACCAGGCATAAAAATAAAATTCATTGCAAGGAGAACCAAGCTACGACACATTAAAACACCGAAACATAATGCAGTGTAATAGCATTCTACAGGCATCATTCACTATTATCGCGTCGCAGCTGCCAGGACAATGATCAGACCGTGAAACAACTGGCAGAAGGATCGGATCAACGGGCAAACAATTTCTACAGAGCTGCTTGGCTGTAAAACAAACCATATAATATACGTTGCTCCACATCAATTAGTTTTTTTTCCGTAGATGAGTCATATGAATTCTGAATTAGGATCACCGACCGAGCGCTGAAAGTTTGAATCGGGTTGAGGCATTCTGCGCCGCGTACAAGCGCCTGGCCACTCTGGAAGCACAGGATTGCCACATGCTGCAGGCAAGCTTCAAGGGTTTTCAGGGTGGGGTGGATTACTTGACTTGATGAATCTACATGCTCCATCATTAATTAATAATTCTGATTTCTGGTTGATTTAAATCTCATCATGGTCAAAATAAAATCTTCCAAATGCAGTTTTCGATTCAAATTTCACATTCCACCATAAAGACACAGCAATGGAATCCATGAAGCAGGTGGGAATCCAGAAAATGCTGATTGTAATTTTAATCATGTGGTGTATTTCTGTCTAGTGTATTTCTGACTGATATGATCTATTATATCAACTGGCCACATTGACATGAAAATCGTTGAAATCAAATAACATGCACTGCGTCGCAGATATTGTGGGATGCCGGAATGCTCGGCAACACCAAAGCCGACATAATAACGATCACGGCGATGGACAAGCAGTTGCTGTTGATGGCGTTCCCTCAGGCACACAATCTGGAAAGGGGTCAAACTGGGGCTGCGTTCAAGCAAAATCGCCAGGTTTCCCAAAAATTTCAAAACAGTACAGCGGCTCCATTAAACAAGATTCCTGGGTTTATTATTGTTCAATTTTAATTGGCCCATATCTTGGTGGATAGTAGGTTTCACCCCAATTAAAAAAGCTAGCAAATTTGACACAGTCTGGGAGAGATTCAGGCGAGGTGGCCATCATGATGATGACACTGATGCTGGTGCTGATGATGATGATGATGATGATGATGACATGATGACGGGGAATGTAGAGTGAGGATGTTGAGGATAAAAAAAAGTAGGAACCGGAGGACTATTATTATGACAACGACATTGATTGTCAAATTGACACCCGATCAGTCAGAACTTCCTACAGGTGTGACAGGTCAGTATACGCCCTGGTCGCGGCTCAAGATTTCAGTGGACACTGGCCATTGATCGCCAGTGCGGTTGTGGGCTCATGTTGCTGAAAAGAGCCTTGGCCCATCGTAGAGGGCGTGATGGTCGAGACAATAACTTTGAAGCTTTCAAATCAACCTTTAGTTGGAACACTACTGCTGTGTCGGCTTTGGTGGAACTTTTGGGATTGGACACTCTTCAGGCTGGGAGATTCAATCCGTCCATCGCTACAGATACAGGCTAGATTGTTTCTTTAGAATCTTCAGCAGGTTACTTCCAGGTTTATTATTGCTGCATTCGACTGGACCAGCTAAATTGTTGAACACATTCAATATTCAATACTTGAGTGTTGGCTCACAGGTTTCGAAGTCTGAGCTGCGAGTTCAATTAGATAATCCGTCCGTGGTCTTATTCATTGTCTCAGTATTTTGAATTTTTAAACTTGGATTTGAAAGGAAATGGTTACTGTGTGCATGGATTCCATGCTGTATAGCGAAGCCCAAAAATAGATAGATAATTTAATAATAGTATTAAGCCACTTGGAAGTAGAGGTAATGACCGTCTATTTCCAGCAAACGGGGGATTGCTAAATTATATTTTCTACTATCGGATCGAATCGACCAGCCGATATGATATATTACATTAGATATGATATATATTACATTAGTATATTATGATATGATGATTTGATTTTGAGTGAGTACGTACTACTAGTCTGACCAGCATTGTTTGCGCTCCGTCAGGTGTCTGCGCTTTTGCGGCCCACCCGTGTATCTTCACAGTGTTCCGGCATTGGGCCAGAGAAATTGATTCTAGAGACTCTCCTCCCGGCAGCTTTTTCCCAGTTGAACCTGCCTATGCAGCCAATGTTCCAGTGCGTCTTTGCAGTTGACACTAGTGCTTGCATTACTGATGGTATTTGGCTGTGTCGGTTAACAGTTTAACAGTTGACTCAACAGCTTGGTCGGGCCAAAATTATTTTCTTGTGGCAGTGTCACTGTCACTGGTACGATTGGGTTCACATCCACCATATTCAGAATTAGTTTTAAGGCAGCGGTCCTAAGTCTGGGGACTTGGTTTGTTGGATTTAGGTTCTACTTGTTGTTCATAGTGTTGACTGCCTGCCTTTTTCTTATTTCCGATTTAATCCCAGGATAAGTTGTTCCATGAAACCAAGTTTTGCTCTACTATTTTGACTGAGATAATCAAGCTGCGGTTATATTAATGTTGATGCAACAACATCCTAAGTGAAGCAGTTAAATTAAACAAGATTGTTATTTTTGCGCCCAATAAAGTCAACAATGCCAAAAAGGAACCCCCCCGCCGCCGGGGGGGGGGTTCCTTTTTGGATGTTTTTTAGTTTTCGGGGGTGGCAAGGCAAGAGAAATTACAAGCGAAGACCCCAGTCAAAGGAAAATGGGGGAAGGTTCGTTCCTTAATTTTTGTTGCGTGTCAACAGGTAAAGTACAAAAGTCTATAGTTTCTCATAGTTTCTGCTCCTATTCAATGCTAATATTATTATGACATTCCCGTTCTCCCGGTCCATCAACTCATGATGCTCAGGATTCAGACAAAGGCTGTCAAGCAGTACTCAGTGACCAATCTTGCGGCTTTGGTACGGAACATGTGGGCACCAATGTGTTGGAACACCTCTTGCCATTTGCTTCAGGGGAGATGACTTTCCAGGACACATTCGATTGGACTATTTGGGACAAGATACAGTTCTTTTTCACCCAAAAATGTGTCCCCTACATGCGCTGCACAGTTCACGGGCAGCAATGCATGCTGGATGAAGCGGAACTGGGGGTGGCAGGGTTCCCATGCGTGGACTACAGTCCAGCAGGGAATCAAGCAGGTATTGCTGGGCGCACGTTTCCTGTGCTCCTTGTAATTTTGAGATGGCACAGAGTGCGTAGAACAAGAGTTCTATTCTTAGAAAATGTTCCTGAGTTTCCAAAGGAAGCAGTCCAACAACTAATGTCAGATATGTACGACATCGAGTACTTCTACATGACACCAGCTGACTGTGGTTGCGAATACTTATCTCCCATGCGGCTTTTTATGGTTCTCTTTCTCAGAGGACAGTGTTGCAAACCAACGCAAAACCTAAACTGGCACGTTGTGTTGATTTGATGTTTTCTTTGAGGGATGGGGGGGTGAAATTAAATTATTGTTGTTGTAATTGCGGATCGCCAGAACATGTTTTCACAAACGTGGGGTTTGGGCATAGTTTGTCTCATCCTGCCAAGTTGATTGCCAGGAGAAGTTCGAGTCCACTACGATTTGAGAGAGGCACTTGATTTCGTGTGCAAACGGGTCCAACAGGTCAGGCACAAGAAGGCACAGCTGGTTCAAGCACACCATTGTCTCTATGCCACACCGGAAGAGATTCGGCATGCAGAGGAGGCACTAGCTGAAGCCCCTTGTTTTGAATTGACTTACTTCTTGAGGCTCATTACGGTAATAGTGACTGATTATGGTTCCAATTACAGACCGTTTTGCGCAATGATCAGATCAATTTGTCCCACTCCTTTTTTAGAGAACAAGTAACAAATGGACTGGTTCCGTATTCAAGTTGGTAGCCGTTTTTTTTTGCACAAGTGATTTAATTGTTTCAGATTAGGATCACCAGTGGCTAAGGCTCGCAAGAAGAAAGTGAAGCCAAGACCAAATGGGGCGAACTACAACTCGTTCAAGTACTTGCTACATGACTCAGAGAAACAAAGGCTCCAGAACTACAACCAGATGTGGAAGGAGAGACATGGGGTCCCTGCTTGCAAAGATCCACGGGCAATTGTCCACCTAGGTGACAATCCTTTGGCCCGTCCTTGTTGGTCAATCAATGGCCACTTCCCTTCCCTTCGGAGAAGCATGGGGCTCTTGTGGCATTGTCAATCAGAAACAATTGTATGCCCCAAAGAACTACTGTCCTTGATGGGCTGGCCATTGTCTGATGAGTTGAGTGATGCAAGTGGTTTGGCAGAGCCAATTGAGTTTCCAGACCTGCCACGTGCCAGGAAATACGCAGGCAACGCAATTCATGTGCCAACTTTCGGTGTACTCTTGCTCACCTGTTTGGCCTGTATCCAAATGGATTGATTCAGACCTTTTAAAACGGCTAATTCAAAGTTTAGGTCGACAGGCAGTGACAAAGCACACACAGAACCTCAGTCGTAAAAGAAAAAGGAATGACCACAGTGAAAAGGCCATAAATAACAAGATTTCCTTCGAAAGGGGCCCCCAAGGTGAAAGAGGTCCTGGCCAAGAATGTTCCTTATGCGCGCGAAGCCCCCAAGATTAATTTCGACCGAGTTTTTCATACAAAGGCAAAAACTCGGTCGAAATTAATCTTGGAGGCTTCTAGGCCAGGACCCCTTTCACCTTGAGGACCCCTTTCAAAGGAAATTTTGTTAAATGTAAATGACTACATCAGCTTTCCGACGCAGCTGAATCGTTCAGAGACAAACGAAGTAATTTCCAAATGTCAATCACGTTGCAATTTTGCTTCACTTGCTGGCACACTTCTTCAAATTGCGTCGGTTTTCCAGTCAGTTGTCGAACAGTATGGTTTCAATCCAACAAGTTTTCTGACATGAGTCTAGGTTCAATCAGGTTTTTGAAGCTGATATGAAATTGGCCGCAGCAACTGCGAGCGAACAAGTAGCTGCCAACTGCCTTTGGAAAGGCTGATCTGATCTCGTTCGAGCCTCTTGAAGTTTAGATGAGCCGTGCCGCGCCGCCCCCATTGTCGCAAATGGTGTCAGCACCCGCAGCACCCCCTCCTTCATCTTCCGGGTTTTCCGTGAGTGAAATGCGTGCTTTACCCCCTGGGGCCAAGTCATTGGCCGCAAACCCCCCACAAACCCGTGGCCGTGCACCAGTGGCCGGCAGTGACTTGCAGGCATTTGTTTATCTTGTTGTCATGGTTCCTGGCAATCATTTTTTCCTAGAAATCGTAATTAATGGTGCCTGACTTCGCGATGTTAGTGTGCAGACAAAACAAGGGAATTGGCTTGACGGTTTCAACAACATGTCATGTAATTAAAACAATCATCGGAAGGTATTTTCGTTGTGACTAGCGTTAGCCAGATTTCTTTTTGGACCAGTTGTCAGTCAGTGACAGTTTCATTGAATGCGCATGACCCTGAATTTCATTTTAATTTTAGGTTTTATTGAACAAAAAGCGTCTCAAACGAACTTGGCAATGTGTGTCCTTGTGCAAAGGTACTCCGTCCTCCCGGGGTGGTCCGACGGCACCGCCGGCTGCACCAGCCAGTGCCAAGACGAGTCGTGGAGGAGATTTGCAGCCACGTGCGAAGGCTTCGAGTAGTGAAATGTTTTCCAGCCGGTGGCAACGTGTCGAAGACATTTCAATCGCTGATCTCAGAACCCTGCTCTTCATTTTCAACGAAGAACAGTGTGAGCATGAGTTGATCAAAGATTATGAGAAGGACGACCTCTTGCTGGTCTTCGAATGCGCCACAGGTCTGGATCGAACACACCCATTGTCGCACAGATACCGTGTGAGACTTATTTGCTGTCGTTTTAAAAGACTACTGGACTTGAGTACATTGTGATCACCGTACTGTCATCCTGACAAACTGCTGTGACTGACACAGACTATTTATGAGCTCAAAACTTTCATACATTGGACGTGACTTTGTTTTATATTACTAGTTAGTTACTGTCATTATCGTCATGGTCAGCGGTCATGAGAGTTAAAAAAATACTTTACTTCGTGTGATCCCCACCATGACATTTATACATTTTCTTACTGGCAAATCTTCTGGCATTCTATCTGACATATCTTCTGACATTCTATTTGACATTCTATCTGGCATATCTTCTGGCATATGATCTGGCATATCTTCTGGCATATCTTCTGGCATTCTATCTGGCAAATCTTCTGGCATTCTATCTGGCATATCTTCTGGCATCTATCTGACATATCTATCTATCTGGCATATCTTCTGGCATATATTCTGACATATCTTCTGGCATTCTATCTGACATATCTGGGCATATATTCTGACATATCTTCTGGCATATCTTCTGGCATATCTTCTGGCATATCTTCTGACATATCTATCTGGCATATCTTCTGGCATATTTTCTGGCATTCTATCTGGCAAATCTTCTGGCATTCTATCTGGCATTCTATCTGGCATATCTGGCATTCTATCTGGCATATCTTCTGGCATATCTTCTGGCATATCTTCTATCATATCTTCTGGCATACTCGCGGTTGAGGTCCGGCAGGGAACACTGGGCCATGGATGGTCGTGGTTGAGGTCCGGCAGGGAACACTGGGCGTGGATACTCGCGGTTGAGGTCCGGCAGGGAACACTGGGCGTGGATGGTCGTGGTTGAGGTCCGGCAGGGAACACTGGGCGTGGATGGTCGTGGTTGAGGTCCGGCAGGGAACACTGGGCGTGGATGGTCGTGGTTGAGGTCCGGCAGAGAACACTGTGGATCGCGGGTCGCAGTTGAGCAAGGACGACGAGGACGACGAGGAGGACGACGGAGGGAGGACGAGGAGGAGGAGGAGAGGAGGACGAGGCAGGAGGAGGCGGAGGAGGAGGAGGAGAAGGAGGAGGAGGCAACTGACATAAAATCTAACAACCCTCACCTGGCAGGTGGGGAACAAGTAGATAAATAAAGGGGAGTAGGTCCGTGAGTGAATTGCCCAAACATGCTTAGGCAAGGAATGGAATTCGAACCTAGCCGCTCGACATCGAAGACGTGTCAAGGATAAGGAGGAGTGCATTGATCGAAGTTTGAGCGACATTATCAAGATCATGGCGGCGAGAAGTGGGACTACTACAGGCGCGGCAGCCACAAACCTCACTCCACAGCTGATGGCGACCCCTTCCGGAGAGCAGGCATTGTATTTGGGCAACAAGTCCAAGTGGTGTCCCTCGGGGAAGTGGACGCTTGAAGTTGAGCCGTCAGACACTTAGTCTTTACATTTCACTTGGTGGTTTGTTTGATTTTAAAGTGTCGGTTGACAAGTTGATTCAAATCTTGAAATCTTGTATCGCACTGGTCCACACGAAGGATTTTTTACTTAGTCACTCACTAGGAAAGGGTTGGACGGACAGGGCCAGGGACGGGATAGTTGATATTTTGATTACATTGGTTTTAATTAGGTAAGTATAAGCCATGCTGGCACTGACTGACTCAGAAGATTGTCAATGGTTTCAAATGCTGAGTTTGTTTGTTGCATCAGCAGCCACTCACTGCAGATCAAGTCAAAGTGAAAACCTTATTTCTTTCAGTTGTCAGAAACTGCAATTTGTTCAATTTCATGGTTTTGTGGTAGAACAATGCTTTATTTAGTGGACTGCAATCTGGAATCATTATTTGTCGTCCTTTATTATTTATTGGATGTGGGTTTCTATTCGACCCGGTTCCCAAATAATCATAGACCAATTCAATGGACACGCTCGGGACTAGGTCAAGTGGTGCCTACTACATTTCCAATGGTGCGACCGGGCATTGGGTGACAACATTCATGGCTGACGCTGTCCCGACTGCTCCAGAGCGTCCTGCAGCTCCTGCTCCATCAGCCGCAGCTCAGCTCAAGTGCTTATTTTGTTCTGCTAGCCTAATCCAAGTAACAAGGATACAGACCGTCATTGTCATTAACCATATCAACAAACAACGGTTGGACACTGACTGATGCTAAAAGCAGAGTAATGTAGTTCAGCCAAATGGTAGCGAATCAGCAGTAAGTAGGAACCATCCATTATGATATATGGCTTTGGGTATTTGCCCATTTTCCCATAAAGCAATAAATAAATATGGAAAACAAGGCTTCCGCAAATGATGCTCGTTTTACGTAAATGATTATTTGATTACTGTTTTCAATTCAAATGAATTGGTCATATACAAACTATTGACTTTCGAAAGGTAGTGCAGCTAACTAACAGCCCGTCGCTGTCGCGGCAGCGACGTCGCAGGCAGGCCGTGGCGGGCCTGCGCCCGCCACGCCAAATTCTGTGGCTTCAATGCCGGAGTCCCTGGCGACTCGTCCGCCATCCCCTGAACCGGAAGAGGAGGAGATGGCTGACGCTGCTACTGTTGATGATTCGGAAGAGGTGGGATTATTAGAGAAGGGGTGATCCAAAATAATCATTCGTGATCCCGCATTTTGTTTTAAACATATTATATAGTGGGTCACAAAAAAGGTTTGGAATACTACCCATGAATGAAATTTTGGAGCACCCTGATTAAGTGAAAACGGTTTCATTGTAATAATTGTAGCGGTCTTGGTTCAACAAGTAGTCCTGTAGTGAGTGAGCAGTAGTAGACTGGCCCAGACCATCAAACCATCAATGCTTCGACTTGGCATCCAAACAAATCCAATGTTGCATGACTTTTTCAATTGCCCCTGGATTCTGAATGTATTACAAAAGGGTAGTTGGGTCAGAGTGCTTGTTGCAGGCAATGCCGCTCCAATCACCGGCGCCTGCATCGATTTGGCAGTCCAGCACCGGTCGCTGGTACATCAACCGTGCGGCAGACAATGCCAGCCGCTGGCTTCCCAAGGTTGCTTCCGGATCGCAGTGGGGTTTGGAGTTTGACACAGCTTCTGGCACCTGGTATGTGGCAACAGCGGACGAAACCGTTGACAACTTGTGGGCTTCTTGGCTAGTCGAGACTTCAATTAGAACTGAAATAAATTGAGCTTAATAGACTTGAACAGCTGTTGTTGAAAGTCATCATCATTACAATTGACATTGATTCAGGCTATAATTTGAAAATGATCTTGTTATGTTTGGACGGCATCTGTCAATCTGATATTTTTTCATATCTAAAAACATCCATCCGTCCGTCCAAAAAACAAAGACTGACTGATATTGAACAATGACGAAGAACAACGGGGTCGTATGAAATACTAAATAAAAACAAACAAACAGGGGTGTCATTCTCAGTAGATTCACAAGAACATCTATCTGGTCATCAGACCATCCCTGCTGCCGAGGTTGACGATCTATTTGCTTCTGGCGACGGACCCCCGGCGAAGAAGTTGAAGCAGGATCGGATCAACCGGATGTGTTTTTTTTACTGGTGATAATTTGGCCACTGACACTGACTAGTCCATTTGGCATAGCGGTTGTTAACGACTGTCCTGTCAATCATTGTTGTTCTCCTTCTTAAACAACTACCTGCCTGACGGGAGTTACAGTACACTGACTCCGATCATCTGTCTGCACTCGTCGTTTGATACGTTGGGGTTACAGTTGAAACTGATGGGTCTCTGAAAAGTACATCATAAATTATTATTTAATAAATCATTGATTAAGGGAATGCCTTGAAGTAAACAACGAAACATCTTTGAGACTTTGTCTGTCATTGCTTGCTGGCAGGACAATGACAATACTACGACCTCTGTTGGGTCGCCAAGGGCCCCGTCCCTTGACTCAGAGATGACAGAACACAAGGACAAGCAAAGCGGCCAAGAAGTCTGTCAACTCCAGAGACAGTTGGAGGAACAAGCAACCCTCATTGCAAAGCTGCAGGAATCGATGGTCCAGCACAATGCAGCAGCAGCAGCACCACCAGCACCAGCACCATTGACGAGTGGTCCTACCAGCCCCCCCCCATCAGCACCCCCGTCAAAACATGAGCCAACAGGCAGCGGGAAAGCAGAGCCACTGACAGAGAAGCAGGCAGATAAAGAACAAGACTTGGCAGGCCGCGTGCCAGTAGTCGTCCCTCCACAGGCCCCAGATGATGTATCAGAAGACCCAGACTTAGGAGTCAAGGCCGAGGACAAGGCAGAAGACAAAAGCAACAAGGCAGACAACAGCAAGGAGGCAGCCACCATCGCCAAGACAGCAGAAGCAGGAGAAAAAACAGCAGAAGAGTCCCAGACAGCAGCAAGCGCAGAAGTGGTCAGCTCAGATCTCACAAAGACACCTGACAGCAGCGAAGTTCCAGCAAAAGCTGCCACAGCCACCCCAAAGCCGCCTGCCACTCCCACTATGGAGTTGCAAAGCATCCCCCCTGTCAGCCCAGCGAAAGGTGCCCCATCAGTGCCACCCCCGCCTACATCAGTGGGTAAGACTCCCGCACCACCGCCACCAAAAGGTGCAGACATCACATCGTTTATGAAGGCCCCACAGCCACCCAAGGCCACTGCCAGCACTAAGCAGAAAGGACAACCACCAAAACGAGGATTGGGGTTGGGGTCACGGTAGACCAGTGGAGCCAAAAGTTATTTTTTTTTGTGGAGGATGATGGCATATATAAACATTACTTAGCAGTTTCTTGGGACTTTACACAGGTCTTACTGCCTTACATACTGCTACCTGGGAGCAGTATGTAAGCAATACATAGCCCTTACATAGCCCTTACATACTGCTTACATACTGCCTTACATACTGCTACCTGGGAGCAGTATGTAAGCAATATATAGCCCTTACATAGCCCTTACATACTGCTTACATACTGCTCCCAGTGCCAAAACACTAGAGTTTTTCCACATTTTGGAGCTGTGTGGGAATTCCCTAAATTGGCTCAATTTTTCCAAGGCAAAATACGGTCTTTTTTGGTCACACCCTGAAACTTTGGCCTGGCATGATGGCCCATAATAATAAAGTGGGTAACTGCGTGATGAGTACCAGAATTTCAATTCAAAATAGTCAATAGTTGAGGTTGAATTCACTGTGTCTCTCCCAACAATGCCAGGACGTTGAGTCTGATGGACGGAAGCTTTGATGAAAGCACGCAGTAAGGCGAATTGAATTGGGTGACTTGAAGGTGTTTTATCTTGGATCGAGGATGTATTTGTTTAACAATACTCGTCATATTTGATAAATGATGGTAACAGTTTAACACACTGACACTGAGAATGAATGCACAACAACAAAGAACATCATCCTGAAAACACAGACATGTCACACATCTTGAGTAATTATTATTTCATTGGGTTTGTCAGTCACATGTGAAAAAGAGAATCGAAATTGTGTGTCTCTCCAAGCTGGGTCCAACCTTCGATTCGTGACATGACTCATGTCATGTTACAGTAAGGCCACAAGACAAGCAGTCAGTATTGTTAATGCTGCTATAGTCATGGTTTTAAATTAAGTCTTCTGAAAATAAAATCTATAAATAGACCATCAGAATATTTTGTGACTATGTTGTACCATGTTTCCCAACAAGAAGTCTGTATTACTGTATCTAAGACTGCCTCACCCAGACCAGAGTGATGAATCAGTGCCACAAATATATTGTTTCCTTGCGCCAGGTCGAATCCGCTGGACCATTGGCAGGTGACAACAAGTGAGGGAGTCCCTGATGTTTGGTCCCGTTTTGTTTCGGCGACTTTTGCTGCGGCATACCGGAATATATCTGCACAAACCAGCACAGACTGGCTGCACTTTTGCCACGCTACAGTCAGTTTGGTCAATTATGCTCATATGTAACAACTGTTCAATTTTTTTCATTTCATTAGCCCAACGATATTATGTGATGTCGGCGTTGGGACTAGGACCTCTCAGTAATATCAATGAGATTATATGTTGCCTTCGGGTTTGATGCTACTACGCACTTCTACAACCAGAACCGTAGTCGTGACGCATTTTTGCGCCAACTTTCAAGTGCAGTGATTTCCGATGAGTTCCTGACGACAGGCCACAGCTTGAATGTTGCTCATTGTGTCAGTACTGTATAAATCATTTTGCATGTATGTATTGTAATGATGCGTGTCTTGAACAATCCAAATCTATGATTTTGTTCTCAAATCTTTTCAAAGCAGTGTGTGTTTACCATATATGACACTGAGCTTTGATGGCCTTCGCATTAGAATTTGCAAGCTCAGCGAAAGCTACGCTTGGACTTCTGAGTCTGCAAAGACCGAGACGCAAGTCTCCAAAAATGCCACGACATGATTGTTTTCCAATTGCATGAGCACACTACAGATAACACAAAACATCTGATATGGAAACGAGCAGTTTTTGCCACGTCTTTTGCACCGGCTAGATGATGCTGGAATTTAGAACAACTTACACACGCTCTGGGTTTGACGAATGTTTTTTTTTTGAATGCTGTTGTGCTTGCAGCGCAAAGAAAACCGTCAACATACGCTGTTATTTGGCTCTGCGTTGAACAAGTCGGCAACGTATCATCCAGCTTGCCGAAATCCTTTTTTGCAGCCCGGCAATCGACCGAGCTGACGTAGAGACTTGATTTGACATGACCGACTCACAATCGACCGAGCCCTACACACCAAATGCTGAGAATCACAGAAGCCCAAATGCCGCCACAGGGGACGAAGGTGATTCCAGCCAGCAACCTCTCATTGTCACCCCGCCGCCACATGAAAAGCCCTTTGGAGTAGTAGACTTCACTCCACCAAAGGTATCGCTTCGCGACACAGTTGAAGACACAAGTAGCAGTACATCTGCTACAAGCCCCGGATTCCTTCAGGTTTCAGATTTCGGAGGTGAATCGTACGAGGAAGAAACTGAAACTGACGATGAGAGTTATACTTTTTCGAGTGATGACATCGATGCCAATGATGACAATGACGACATTGACGGACATGGATGTGACACAATTGTTTCAACCCAAGTCTCAGTTGAATCAGTGTCATATCTTTGGCAATGCCCTTATTGTGGGCGACGAGCAAGTCAGAATTGTTGTCTTACTTGCATGATGGAAGATGCAGTCTTTCCTGAGGATTATCTCAATGCCCAGGTTGATTCGGCAGGTCAGCCCAATTCCAACAATGACGAGAGTGACAATTCCAACAATGACGAGAGTGACAGGGAGCCATGAATCACATGACACTTTTCTTTTTTTTATAGGGACGGTATGACTCCAACAGTGAGACATACAGACAGTGTCCGTCCGACACTGTGATTTTGAATGAACATCCATATCATATTTGAGAACAGAGTCATGCATTGGACATCCCTTTGTAGATGTTAGTACAGTTTAGGCGACATGACCTATTAGCTACGGTCAGCCGGCTCACTCTTTAGTTTAGTCTCTACTCTGTGCACGAATCGACGAATGGCATTTAAAATGAATGCGCACGACACGATGCCGCAACTTTGGATAAACTAAAAACATGGTTGGACATCTCATCACACGACCGGACAGTCAGTCAGTGGAGAGAACTGTGTCATCATCAAACTAGCTCATCCCATCATACCACAGTGAGCTGAGGTCACAAACAATTATTTTTCTGGTCAGCCAGTCATCTCAATGATATTCTAACAGCCCTGGCAGGTGGTGGAAGCCATTGCGCTGACTGACCACGGATCTGCGGTGCTAGCCGAGGAAGACAGAATAAGCGTCATGCAAAGAGTTGTTACTTGCAATATTTAATAGGGGGTTTTATCTTATTGCATTGTAAGTATGTCTTGAAAAACACGATCAATGCACGCAATTTCTTTCGGATTAAATAAGCAGCTCAAAGTGGTAATCAGCCATGGTTTCCTGGATAGTGGGGAGCATATTTGTGATTTATTCAATAATGAATAATTATAACAATTATTATTTAGGATTGTTGATCATTAAAGTGAGGCTGCAGTCAAAGCGAGCAACAAAGCATTTGGCCATTCTACATCTTCAAAGAGAGAGAGAGCCATTGCAAAAATCACGGCCAAACTGCCAGTTGACGCGCTTTTGGCGCTTGACTCCGGTCTTCGCAAATTTAAAATCAGCTTTGACAAGTTTCTCCAGCCTTTCGATGGGGACCCGTTTCTATTGGGGCGTGATTTTTTGCGGGAATTGGATCTGCTGACAGTGCCAGCACTGGTGTTCCTCAGCGATAGAGAGGCTTCTCAGTCTCTCGTCATGTGTCACGTGTCACGTTGACAAGGGCTGGCAATGGATAATTCTTCTGTAACCAGTGGGTTTCAGAATGAATTTCAACAGGGGAACATGGGTATGACTACAATTATGGACCGGATGCTCGAAAATACATCTTAAATAGTATTTTCGAGGATTTTCGAGCATCCCATTTTGACAAATACCTATATGGGAATGTTTCATAATCAGGAGTGCCCAAATGACTCAGACAAACATCGCCATACAGAGAGTAATAGATATATCTTGTGGACAATACTGACATATCCTTTCCCCTCATCATCATGATCGCTGCTCATCGGTCGGGGATTTGTCCCGACTCACATTGGACATCACTCATTGGATCACGGCCTCTCTGATCATCATCGTCGAATCGTCATCATCACCATCATCATCACTATAATTTTCATCATCATACCTCATCATACATCATCATCCTCATCCTCACCCTCAACCTCATCCTGCTTCTCACACTGACCCTCATCCTCGTTATCATCATCGTCGTCATCGTCGTCGTCATCATCATGATCATCATCGCAATCATCACCGTCATATCACCGTCATATCATCGTCATCATCGTCATCATCGTCATCATCGTCATCATCGTCATCATCGTCATCGTCATCATCACCATCATCATCATCATCATCACCATCATCATCATTTCAATTTCATCATCATCATCACCATCACCATCACGATAATCATCATCATCATCATCGTTATCATCACCATTAGCACGAAATCTTTCTCATGACTTATCATCAGAATCTTCATCGTCATTGTTATCCTCATCACCAGCAGCAGCATCATCATGTCATCGTCGTCATCATCATGTATGGATTTGTGTTCCAGGTCACTTGTTGGAATTCAATTCCAAACGGAAAAAGTACCATAACCCACCATTTTTCATCACCATGGACAAGGTCCTTATCGGTATCTTCACATGCCACCATCATCGTCATCGTCTGTCACTACCGTGAGTATTTATTAGCTGCCAGTAGCGAACAGATACATACTTAAACTTATTAACTATCAAGTAGATAACATACATAAACCAGCAAACATTCATACCTTCGTCATTCCTAACTTTCTGAATAAATTTTAAATTAATAATGTTCAACCACTCTGTCCACTATCATCCAACCAATCAGTAGCATCATGATAATTTTGACATTCTGATTCTGTGCATCGTCATCTTTCCTTGTCATCAGCCGGTATCTCGTCATCGTCGTTGGCGAACAGCAAAAGTTAAGCAGCGTTGCTCTTGTCAAAAACACTGCCGCCATTCAATATCATACATCATACATCATTCATCATCATCATCATCATCATCCTCGTCCTCCTCGTCGTCGTCGTCGTCGTCGTTGTCGCCGATTTCGTCGTCGTCGCTGTCGTCTTCGTCATAATAGTAGTACACAACCATCATCATCATCATCATCCTCACCAAAATCATTCTCATTATCAGCATCATCAGTCTCGTCATCTTCATTCTCACTATCATCACCGTCATGACCCTGATCACCATCATTGTCATTGTCATCATCATTATCAAATCATTGCCTTTCTCACACGCCTGGTCAAAACACGTAGGCAACTGCAGACTGCTTCCATTGACTTTTGAATTGATTATTACATGAGGACAACCTTTGCCAAAGGTAATGATGGCTGAATGGTTTTAAACTTAATTTTGGAGATTCAGAATCAGTCATATGAAATTTTGTGGGTATCGAAAACTGGTTCGCTGGCCGGGAGGTCAGCTCGCAATTGGTGAATGGATGTTCCACCCAAAAAAGCCTCTTTATTGATTGTTAGGGTGATTCGCGCCCAACTGTTGAAAACCACCCCTGTCAAGTGTTGAACTAATTTCTTCTCATACCACCACCACTGTTTCTGACAAGATCGTCGTCATTCAAAAAAAAAGGGAGCATGTAGATTTTTCAACATGAACGCAGCGGATACAGGTCACACATGACTGAATATGGTGCCAGGGCTGCAAATGATTCATGATGAATGATGATGATGATGATGCTGATGATGATGATGATGGTGCTGATGATAATGATGGCGATGATGTTGATGATGATGGTGATGATGATGATGATGATGGTGATGATGATGATGGTGACATTGATGGTTGATGATGATGATGGTGGTTTTGATGATGATGGTGATGATGATGATCATATTGATGATGGTGGTGATGATGATGATGATGATGATGCGGATGATGATGATGATGATGATGATGATGCGGATGATGGTTGTGAGGGTGATGTTTGTGAGGGTGATGATTGCGAGCATGATCGGGATGATTCTGCTGCTGATGATGATGGTTGTGTAGGACGATTTTTTGATGATGGCGGGCGCACATGGGTCAGTGCGTATAATGATAATGATGGTGATGCTGATGGTGGAGGTTGGTGGGTGACAAAGACCACAATAGCAATGATGATGTTGGGGCTGATGACGACATGAAACGGTCTTGATAATGATTAGAGGATGATGGTGTTGTCCATGATGATGAATGATGATGATGATGATGATGATGATGATGATGATGATGGTGACACTGCGGATGATGATGACGATGATGATGACGACGACGACGGAGACTCTGATGTGGAGGTTGTTTGATGAACATGAAATGATGATGATGATGATGATGGTGATGATGATGATGATGGTGATGATGATGATGGTTTGAGCTGCTCCGAAAATTCCAGAAATTTAGGTGACGAAGGGCCAAAGATCTCCCGATAAAGCTCGGAGGGCAGTAGACCGTGCACTTACGAAGCTCTCATCCCCAAATGCGCCTCCCCTGTTGACATTCATAGGAACCATCAATGCAGGAATCACACCTGCCAGTCCCACGGCAATAAGTCAATCGATAATTATCACCTTGTAAATATGTCCGTCCTTATTAAAAATAAAAATGGTGGAGGGGGTGAATGAGTATGAATGGTTCGTATGATATTATTTACTGCCTCTGTGACTGTGGGTGATGACGATGACGGTGATGACCGTACTTTTGACAGCCACCCATTGCTGGCCGGCCTAGGACAAAGAACATCAACACTCTGCTGTTCAGCGCCAAGGGAAAGGACAATCGGCCACTGCTGGGGGTTTATCGTGGTGACCCTCTTCATATGGACATGAACTGTTTGAACAAAGCGATCTCAGCGGCTGGTTTTTCAAGACCTTTGATTGCATTCAAGACCATTAAACTGTTTGTTTCCACTAAGTCTCAGGGTATTGTAACAATAGACTAGAAGGGAAAATTCGGATGACATAGCTATAACCAGCCAGGCATTAAATCAAATAAGTAAATAAAATCATACGAACCGACATATTCATTCACCCCCTCCACCATTTTTATTTTTAAAAACGACATATTTACAAGGTGATAATTATCGATTGACTTATTGCCGTGGGACTGGCAGGTGTGATTCCTGCATTGATGGTTCCGATGAATGTCAACAGGGGAGGCGCATTTGGGGATGAGAGCTTCGCAAGTGCACGGTCGTCCGCCCTCCGAGCTTATCGGGAGATATTTGGCCCTTCGTCGCCGGAGTTTGGGGAATTTGCGGCGCATCTCATGTTTGACTGGGGTCTCTCTGGTGATGTCTCTGATCTCCATGAGCGCTTCCTGGCATGTGCGGCACAGGCCCTGAGACCGCAAGACAAGGTAAGGTGGCTAATGAACTGCTGTTTTCCGTTCCTGTGGTTGTGGGCATTAATGAACCCAAACCTCCACCCAAATGTTATATAACTGTATTGAGTTATTGCATCTGATTGCAGTAGCTAATTGTATGTAAGAAACAAGCAAATTCATCACAATTCCCACCTTCATTTGATATTGCCACATCTAACCACCATTCCCTAGAGGTCAAGACGCGGCGCTGGTTCAGCTGGCTAGTCCGTTTCCGTGGCTTGACTTCTAAGAACAGCGACGATGAACTAGAGGGAATCAACTTGCAGGATTTGGACGATCCGTCGCGGAAAAACACTTATGGAGGCTTGGATCAAACGTGGACAACTGATTTGAAACTGAACCTCATGGCTGGCGAACTGAAAGGCAAGAGCCGGCTGACCATGGAGAAACTCCAGATGGACGAGGTCCACCTCTTTTTTTCCGCCGACAGCCATGACACCCCACATCATTTTATTAAATCATCATAGGACAATCAATGGATTTCAACTTCCCATGTTATAAGCTATGCTACGGAAAAAACAATAATCAAATGCATTCTTATCCGCTCGGTAGTGGTTATTGTGTTGACTGACTACCGTGCGGTGATTGAGTCAAACAATCACCATTTTATGGTTGCTGTTCTGCCGATTTACCATGTGGTGTGTTCTGTGTGTCTGACTTGTTTTGTTCTTCCTCGCGCCTCGCCGTCATAGTGCTGTCGTTGTCGGTGTCGGTATTGTCGGTGTCGCTGCTGCTGTTGCGGCTGCTGCCGGTGTTTGTTGCTGTTCTTGGCGGTGGTGATGGTGGTGGTGGTCCTGGTGTTGGCGGTCGGTCAGTGTCAGTTGTCATGGTTGTCATTGGTGGTGGCGCTTGCAGTGGTTGCGACGGTTGCGGTGGTTTTTGGTGACTCGGCTTCTGTCTGTCTTCTATTCATGAGTGTGGGTTTTTGCTGCTCTTATTTGTCACATCTTGAATCCATATCAGTCTGGTTGCAAGCACCAGGACGACCAAGCTGAAATGACACTTGGAGACATCAAGGCAATGAAAAAGAATGCGCTGGATGCCCAGGCAAATAACCTTGCACTTTCTGCACTGATCCTGCAAATGACCGACCTCCAAATCAAAGCCCGCATGCCTCTTGACAAAGATTTTTTCGTTTTTATGGCATTTTCTGATGTTTATTTGACCTAATACTGTTGATGACAGACCCGACAAAATTACTTTACTTCGTGTGATCCCCACCATGACATTTATACATTTTCTTACTGGCAAATCTTCTGGCATTCTATCTGACATATCTTCTGACATTCTATTTGACATTCTATCTGGCATATCTTCTGGCATATGATCTGGCATATCTTCTGGCATATCTTCTGGCATTCTATCTGGCAAATCTTCTGGCATTCTATCTGGCATATCTTCTGGCACTCTATCTGACATATCTTCTGGCATTCTATCTGGCATATCTTCTGGCATATATTCTGACATATCTTCTGGCATTCTATCTGGCATATCTGATCTTCTGGCATATATTCTGGCATATATCTGGCATATCTTCTGGCATATCTATCTGGCATGGCATCTATCTGGCATATCTATATCTGACATATCTTCTGGCATATCTGGCATATCTTATCTTCTGGCATATCTTCTGGCATATCTATCTGGCATATCTTCTGGCATATTTTCTGGCATTCTATCTGGCAAATCTTCTGGCATTCTATCTGGCATTCTATCTTCTTCTGGCATATTATCTGGCATTCTATCTGGCATATCTTCTGGCATATCTTCTGGCATATCTTCTGACATTCTTTCTGACATTCTTTCTAGCTTTCTTCTGCACATTCTTTGTCCCATATCTTCCTACATGAGGTCCGGCAGGGAACACTTGGCGTGGATACTCGCGGTTGAGGTCCGGCACTGGGCGTGGATGGTCGTGGTTGAGGTCCGGCAGGGAACACTGGGCGAGGATGGTCGTGGTTGAGGTCCGGCAGGGAACATTGGGCGTGGATGGTCGTGGTTGAGGTCCGGCAGGGAACACTGGGCGTGGATGGTCGTGGTTGAGGTCCGGCAGAGAACACTGTGGATCGCGGGTCGCAGTTGAGCAAGGACGACGAGGACGACGAGGACGACGAGGACGACGAGGAGGACGAGGAGGAGGAGGAGAGGAGGCGAGGCAGGAGGAGGCGGAGGAGGAGGAGAAGGAGGAGGAGGCAACTGACATAAAATCTAACAACCCTCACCTGGCAGGTGGGGAAAAAAAATAGACCAATAGAAGTCATGACACGTTTCATAAGATCTAACAAGATGCTCTGTGGTCCATGACTGAGTTAGCTTCGACTCAGGATTGACTATTGCCAAACTCCTATCTTCAGAAGCCACTTGAAGAACATCCGCTGCGGCGTAGATCCAGAGAAAAACAGGCAGTATCAGGCTGCCAGGTCGAATCTGCATTGGGTGGACGAAGAGTTGTTTCCACTTTTTTCACAGTTTCACAATGAAGAAGTGCTGGCCCGTCTTAAGTGTGGGGCTCGATCGCACCTTGAACTTTCACAGCAAACCAATCATTTGCTGTCCTTCCTTGAACTCATGACGTGCACAGCGGGGGAGCGTGCTTGGCATATGCTGCACCACAGTTACACGTTTCCAGAACAGTGGGCCGCAATGTTGGCACCGCTCAGGGAAGGATTGGATGCCTTCGGGGAGTTCAAGCACATTGCTGAGCTTGTCATTTCAGCAGAGACCACGCTCAAAGATCCCAAGCATGGTGATCGGGTCGCAGCCTGTCAGACATAATCATTCATGCCAGCAAGCTTTGATGTTGAGCTTGAGCTAACTTGTGCACAATGAACAACATCCCCACTGACTGTTAACGACGTTCATTGGGTGTAATAACAAAAGTAAAGCTATAGAAAGTAATGTTGGTGACACTCAAGCATGGGTAAGGCATTGAAGGAAGCATTGGACATGCTTTGGTGGAACAGGTTGCCTCTGGTTCGATTGGTCATTGCTAAATGCAGGGCTCACGGGTGGCAGAGAAATGCCATCTACCAATTCGTGTGGCGACTGTTCAGTGGTCCCAGCGCGACAAAGAGTGGCCAAGAGGACATCCTGCAGGATTTGTCACATGCTACACGTGCCAATCGGAGGAAAGATGTTCGACTGTCAAGGGCGATGTATCTCGCCGCAACCTCCGAACAGCTCAGTAACCTTCCAGTGACACCCTTGACATTGAATCCGGGTGACATTTGCAAACTTGGATCTTTGGTCGGCGGTGTGACAGCAGACGACTTTGCACCGCGGCGAATGAAGACATTTGAGAATGAGTCTGACCGTTCTGAAGTGCTTTACTCTGCCATACAAAAGGTGAAGGCCAGCCAGGCCAATCAGACTCAGGACTGGGAGTGATCAGCAAAATCCATGATCAAAGGGCGTGCCTCAATTTAATTTACATTTTCAACACAGATCAGAGTCTTTAGAGCATGTTTGACATTTGAAAAACAAGAATGCTGGAAAAGTTGTCAGAGTCGGAAATGCTTTTTGATGTTGCAATTTCATTGACTAATTCGTTTCAATCTTATCAGTCATTGATTCATCCCAGCCTGAAGTAGAAATTCAAAAGCAAAACCAGCATGTTTTTTCCGAAGTGAACATGTGAAAACTATTTGAATCATTGAATCTTACAAGTGATCATTTTTTGCTGCAGTTGTTGAGAACACGGGGTGATGCTGAAACAGGAGGTGAAGCCTGCTGGCACTGAGACAGATGAGAAAGCGGTTGCTGCACTCATTGCTCTTTCAGTGACAGCTGACAATCACTTTCGTGGAATTGGAAACTTGGAGACATCTTGTGTTCTTCAGCGATGTTTGGTGTACCGTCGGAAACGAGATAATGCATTCGTCTTGTCGCTGGGGTTTGTGCAGTATGCCGCTTTGGGGTGGCAACTTGAAGCCATTGACTACGAGAGTGAACGGTACTTTTTCTTCCCAAGCAGTGACGACAAGACCTTTGACCAGAAAACCGATTGCTTGCATTTTCTGACCTGTTCTGCTGTCAGCAATTCTGACAATGATGATGACAAGGAGGAGTTTGCCGGGATTCCGTTTGAAGTGTGCATCTTGGTTGACATGGTTAGGTCAATTGGTTTTGTTTGTGTATGTTTCCCCGTTTTTCCTTCAGACGGAAAGCCGTCATGGATTTCAAGGATGGATTTGAAGGAGTTTGTTCAATTTTCCGAAACACGCTTCAGCAAGGTCCCTCTGTGTCTTTGCCGAGCGAACTCCGTCACCATGGCGTGCTGTTGAAGCAAAAGGGAGAAGAAGAGCGTCTTCTTAGACATATGTTGCTAAGTGGGCGGATGATGTCAATTACTGAACAAAGGCTGCGCATCATTCTGTTGAGCATCAAAGCTCCTGTCGTCAAATTTGCTGAAAAAAATGTCTCAAAGAAATCATTGGTTTGGAGTCTTATCATGGCAGTACTTTCGGACGTGGAGCAGAGCAAGAAGCTGGATTTGCTGCTTTGCCTCACTGGGGCAAAGCAGAAACCTGACATGGTCCCTGACGAAGTCACAGACTGTGCACTCAAATCTATGGGTGACGAAGAGGTAAAGACCCAGTTCGAAGGATTGAAAAACCGAATTGACAGGCGTCTCATGGACAAAAAGTTTCAGCAGGGTGCCACGCGCACAGTCGGAGACCGTAAAGCTCGTGAACATTTCACACCTGAATGTATCAAAGAACTACGTCCTCCATGGAAATGCACACTAGTCCTAGATGCTCCAAAATCAAGTTTCGAAGCCTATTATCCAGCTGGCCGTCCAAGCAAATCAACATCCATGAAGTACGATGACGAGGATGCGGCTGACACTGAAAGTGAGCGGTCCAAACTTGCAGCACTCACATTTTGCGTTGAATACCTTTGGAGAAACCACGGCGAAAAGGGAAGGGTTTCTTAAGCTTCATTACGGTGTGTTTTACTATTGAACCAATGTTTACCCTTCGGTTTGTTTATTGAGTTTGATTGCCACGAATCTGATTGTGAACATACACAATGCAAAGTGACATTCATTTGTTTAATTTTCAAGATTAGATTGCTTGGTCAGCTCCCTTCTTCTAATAACGCCAAGGATATGAAAGGAAAACCCAGTGACGCGCAAATTGAAACTGCACTTGCTCAAGCGTTTGTGGAGATCGATCGGAGGGAGAAAGGACCATCAAAACATTTTTTTTATTTCAAAATTGGGGCTGGGTAACAAGTTTTGAAAAGTGTTGGTTGGTGACAAATGCAGGTTCAAGTTTTCTTGAGCACAGCTTCCATTTTTACACTACTATCAGGACTTGACAACCCGGATGATGATGGTGACAATGCACCAGCTGCACCCAAACGACGACGCAGGTGCACAGCAGAGATGGAACCGGCACCAGAAGCACCGCCATCTGCAACTCCCGCTGCTCCATCCAGTGCTGCAAATGCTGCTGATCTTGATGTTGCAGATTCACTCAGCAGTGACAACGAATTTGACTTTAACTTTCTTTTTGGCAGTGAGTCAGAAATGCTGGCTGATCCACCCAAAGAGCACAAGAAGAAGAAAGAGAAGAAAAAAAAGGACAAAAAACTTAGGAAGAAAAACAAAAAAAAAAGGTGCAAAATAGCACAGGCCGGACATGTCAACCTCGACGCAAAGTCTGCCACAGAGAAAAAAGTGCAGATCGATTGCTGTACCACATTAACATCTGGCAGGGACAGTCAGACATGCTCTCACTACATAATGAGTTAGTATCAATGGTTTTCCAATTTATGGATTCTGGCTAGTATTTATTGGGTAAACCATGTAAGTTGGGGCAACGACAGACCAGATGACGGTTCCCAACTGTTTCTTTGTGGTTACTTGGACTGTCATGGAGCAGGCGGGATTGGGGGCCAGGCTTGCCAGGGACCTACAGTACTTATATAAGTTATTGCTAGGGACCTACAGTACTTATATAAGTTATATAAGGTAAAGGTTTGTCAAACTAACAAAAAGGACAAAACATATATTACAATACATGGGCGGTACATATGCCTTACAAATAGGAGTATGTAAGGCTTATGTAAGGGATATATACCGCTAGCCAAGGGCTATATAGCTGAGAACCTGCTTTTGAGGTTCCAGAAATTTTCCCTGATTTTACACACAGAAGCTTTTACACGCAGAGGCTTTTACACACAGAAGATTTTACACACAGAAGCTTTTACACAGACGCTTTTTACGCAAACGCTTTTACACACAGAAGCTTTCACACACAGACACTTTTACACACAGACACTTTTACACACAGACGCTTTTACACACAGAAGCTTTTACACAGAGCACACAGAAGCTTTTAAACAGACGCTTTTACACAGACGCTTTTACACAGATGCTTTTACACACAGAAGCTTTGACACACAGCACACAGAAGCTTTGTACACACAGAAAAAATCGCAATTTTACCCTCAATTTTTGACGATCGAACCTCATTTTGTGCGAAAGGGTTGCGCCGGACAAGTTGAAATCGCAATTTTACCGCAGTTTTTGGCGATCGAACCTCGTTTCGTGCGAAAGAGTTCGCGGGACAAGTGAAATCACAATTTTACCTCAATTTTTGACGATCGAACCTCGTTTCGTGCGAAAGGGTGCCCGGGACGACTTGCAAATCGTAATTTTACCGCAGTTTTTGACGATCGAACCTCGTTTTGTGCGAAAGGGTTGCGCCGGACAAGTTGGAATCGCAATTTTGCCTCAGTTTTTGGCGATCGAACCTCGTTTCGTGCGAAAGGGTTGCGAAAGGGTTGCGGGACAAGTGAAAATCGCGATTTTTGCCTCAGTTTTTGACGATCGAACCTCATTTCATGCGAAAGGGTTTCGCGGGACGACTTGAAGTCGCACTTTTACCTCAGTTTTTGACGATTGAACCTCATTTCGTGCGAAAAGGTTGCGTTTCGTGCCGTCTCGTTGGCACTGCCCCTGCCCCCGCCTTCAGAAGAGAAATAGAAAAGAAGGAGAGGGCAAGAGGGCAAGAGGGCAAGAGGAGAAGATGTGAAGATATGAGGATGTGAAGATGTGAAGATGTGAGGATGAGAAGATGTGAAGATGAGCAGATGAGAAGATGTGAGGATGAGAAGATGTGAAGATGAGAAGATTTGAAGATGAGAAGATGTGAAGATGAGAAGAAGAACCCTGCGCTCAGATGCTCTCGGTAAAAAACACCGCAAAGGCGCACAGCTTAAGGAATTGTAGGAATTGTGCATTGGAAAATGCTTGACAACTTCAGGGATACATTGCTCATAGCCGAATGTTACAACTGTCGTTTCGTACGGTACTTAAATGTAATGAATTTAATGAATTAATCAAATTCCTATTAATTAATATATAATGACCCTGTAAATGTCATTTGAGAAAGCTCAGAATGACCATCTCCAGTGGGAAACTCTAGAAAGTCAAGGTGGTGTCCAGAAAGAAAGCTGCAAGAGCATGACTGCAGCAGAAAAGCTGGAAAAACTGAAAACTCTTAAAAATCAGTCTTTCCCATGTCACACCAATGCCCACCTGAAAGGAGCAACCCAGCAGGCAAGACCTTGTCAAAATCGCATTTGAGTGTCTGACAGTCTGACAAAACGTCTGAATCTGGTTCTGAGGACCAGACCCAGGTTTCGGCAATCATCAATCCCAGAAGCATCGAGTCAAACACAAACCACCCATCCTGGTGATATCCACATCGGATGCACATTGGATGCACATCAGGTGCACTTTAAGATTCCTGAGTATTACCATGCTATCCAGTATTGCATGGAGCGTGATGGAGCATGGGAGCCTGGAGCCCTTCCAATCTTGCCAAACTATCGAAACATATTGAAACTTGAAACATATTGAAACGCTCCGTTCTGTCCGTTCTGTTCAGCCTCAGATGTTCAGATGTTGCCATTTGCCTAGCTTTGGAAAAGCTTCGCGGTGGGTCTGGTGGGTTCAGTCCTGCATGGTGTCACACTTCCTTCGGAAGGCTCCAAAACGTATCGCCCATTCCTGAGAGCAACAATTGAAGCAAAGAACGGTCGAGGGGTCGACGGGTAGACGGATCGACGGATCGACGGATCGACGTTCACCAAAATGGCTCATCCGAACAACACAAAGGTTCTTGACAGCCAAGTAAGCGCCGGACAAAGCTAAAATATGCACAAAAGAAGTTCTCCATGATCTGGGTCACACATGGCCAAAGGGTGAACAGGAGAATGCAACCAGTCGCAGTCTGGCAACAGTACGTGAATGGAATGAGGTTGGAACTGCAAATTGCAAAGCAGCGTCCAGAATCCTCAGGACTGCATGGGATTAATATGGATTAATGCTAGCCAAAGCTTGCCCAAAGAAAGGTTAAACGCCGGGACTTTGA